TGTTTTGCTTGAAAGCAGTCTTGATCTAAATTTTGTATTTCAGATGATTGATGTGTTTGCAACAAATGCGACTCCTGAGTTACTGCTGCAGCTCAATGCATTGCTTGAGCAAGAATTAAGATATCAGCCAAAGCTCTCTGGCTTGCGAATAATTGAATCAGCTCATGATAATGGGCTCCGGATGACGGCAAGGTTGCGGAATTTTGAAGTGAAAGATCTGCTTAGTTTGATTCAATTCTTCGGCTTTCGCACAGAGACGTTTTCTCTTGCCGTGAATTACTTAGATCGTTTTTTATCAAAAATAAAGGTAGGTCTTTATGAAGTTACAGTGTAAGCCAGTTTATTTTTATTTTGATACAAGACTTCAGATTGCTGCTAATTTGCTTTTCAGATTTTCAGCTGCCAAAGAAAATTTTATCATTACAGCATTAGTTTGTAATCCTAACATGCAGCTTTGCCATGTAAATCTTATTAACTGGAATCAATACTTATTTTTAGCTGAATATAGTAGATAAACAGCTCACAGTAGGAGCATTTACAGCAGAACTTATAGCAGCTAGTATGGCTTAATATCATTACAAATACCAATTGCATTTGTACTTTTTGGGATATTTAATAATGACAGACAGGGAAAACCTACTATGATTATTTAAACCCTTTCCTTGCCAATCTTATTAACAGTACCAGAAGTTGTTTTATTTCTTTTGGTGAATGCAGATCATCATTTCCTAGCCTGGTGCTAGATTGTTTGACTGCAATTCCCATAATTCTCATTAATCTGTGGTTCCTGGAATCTGTAGTTCATTACAGAAGATTGACCTAAAAGACCTTTCTGTTGTCTTATGCAAAATGCATTGCTTCAAGCTTCTGTACATGTTTTGGAGACACATATATAGAAGCTTGGATCGATGTGGTCTTTAAAAGTTATGGATTCTTCAATGAAGTAAAGATGAAAGAAGTTCCAAACAAGTGCATCCCTCTAATAACATATTTTAGAAAGTACTATTCTAAATGTGTGGGTGCCTTTCTGGCCTGTATACTGAACTGAATTGTTTTGAGGGATAATATACAATGAATAGGTGCTTGATTGATGTTGAACAGCAAGGCATGAAAGCTTACTTTTCTGAACAATAGACAACATTAACCAAAGTGGTTCCACACTGGGAATTCCTATTTTCTTAAATATAAACACACTAAAAGTTTAAAAGATAGCATAGGAGAAAATAGATTAAGGAATTATTGCTTTTTATTTTATGTAAAAAAAAAAGGTTGCTATAAGCCCACAGTTAACATTTTTGGGTCAAAAGTCCTATTGAGTTACATAATATTTACTTTGTAGGTTTGCAGTATGTATGTAAACCAAGTACACTGTAGGCTTCAACTGAAAAATCTTTTTTTTTTTTCTCTTCTAGGTTCAGCCAAAACATTTGGGCTGTATTGGCTTAAGTTGCTTTTACTTGGCGGTGAAAGTCATGGAAGAAGAGAGTAATATTCCATTAGCTACGGACTTAATCCGAATAAGTCAGTATCGGTTTACTGTTAGTGACCTAATGAGAATGGAGGAAATTCTTTTAGAGAAGCTACATGGGAAAGTAAAAGCAACAACTGCCTCCCAGTTTCTGCAACTTTATTGTTTAATTCTGTGTGACAGCATCAACTGTGAAAGGTAAGTCTCCTTTTCTGGACCAATTTGGAATTAAACCAAAAAGAGATTTATAGAGAGAAAATGTCCTATGTCCTAGCAGGGTAGTAAATGTCCAAGAATCCCTTTTTAAAATAACCAAGGTATGCATTTGCAATTCAAATTTTAACTGTGGGGTTGAAACTGTTAAACAGGGTCCCAATATAATGTACATCACAGCAGACAGACATTCTGGCTTTAAGAGGTATTAATATTTACAAGGCTGTGACGTACAATTCTATTAATCCCACACAGCAGTTTGAAATGTTATTAGAATCCTATTAGATTTGAGCTATCTGAAACAGGGTTACTACATTTGTGTAAAATCAGTATTGTCATTGTCATGCCATCATAGTTATATTACGCAGCAAAAAGAGATCAAAAGAAGTTGAAACTGAGAGTCTTTTTAAAGGGGTGTTTTAGTAAATTTTTAAGGGGTTCGGGGTTTTTAGGGGGTTCGGGGTTGGCCCGAGGGGACTTGGGGGAGCCCTCTCTGAGGCCAAGGCCAGTCCAGTCTGGGGGGCGCGGAACGGTGAGGGAGGAGACTGGGGGGTTAATAGAGGGTGGTGTGATTAGTACGGTCAGTGGGAGGGGCAGATATGGCGGGAGCAGAG